AGTACAATGCTTGACAGTCTCGACGCCCATCCTTCCACCTTTGAAGCCACGGACGCCACAGTTCTCTTCAAGAGCCAGCGGCGGGGGCCGGGTTGACGGGGGTCGGGTGGGGAGGGGGGGCGCATGCAGAAGAGCTGCTGGAGCAACAGAAGACGCCCTCCTGGCTCAGGACTTTGCTGGTTTCAATTGTTTCAATTGTCTCAATTGTCTCCTTTCTGTAGGAGTTTTGCGGGGCTTCCGCAGCATGACCGCCTGAGGATGGGAAACCGGATCTGGATCTGTTTCTTAAATATGAAGGCGGCTATTGTGAAAACAGACAAAAACCACAGTTGCTTTGAAGTGAAAAAATACAAACGGCCTCAAAGATTATTTTTTTTTGTACTATTCTGTGGCAAGGCACTGAGATGGGAGGGGGAAAGAAAGATAATCATTTAAAATAATCCCTCTATACATTATTTAAGGGTAGTAGGATGCCTTGTGTGTGTGTGTATGAACAGGGTTAAAACAAGCTAAGAAAGAAATCGACCTGGTTAATTCATTTGTTGCACTCCGATACGTAAATTCTGTTAAAAATATGTCACGGGACTACAGATTTTAATTCGAATGCACGTTCCTTTCGTTGTAGGCTATAAAATATGTCTCTGTGGTAGCTTAGCGCCCTCTGCTGCCAACTCTTCTCAATTGCAGGGAAAATGTTCATATGGTCATAGAGAAGCCCTTACAAAGGTCCAGGATAAGTAACTATTTACTAACAGAAATAGAAGAGTTTTTTTCTGTTGCATCATCAGACTCCTTGACTAGATAAAGAAGATGCAACCAAGGAGTTCAGTGTACCCATGAATAACATGAAGCTCCCTTCTACTGAGTCAGACCCTTGATCTATCAAGGTCAGTATCGTCTACTCTGACCCATAATGGAACTGCAGGGTCCCAGGTAGAGGTCTTTCACATCACCTACTACCCAGCCCCATAGTCAGAGTGGATAACTTAATTAGATTACCCAACAGCATGTTGGATGGGGAGGTAGCTCTCTCTTTCCTTCCCCAGCCCTCCCACACAGGGCAGCGGGGGAGAGGCACATGGGGATCTGGCATTCTCCTGGGGTGGGGCAGGGCTCATCCATGGTGGGGGTTCAGCCCCAAATGCCCCACCATGACTACAGGCCTGCTACTACTTGATCCTTTTAAATGAAGATGCTAGGGATTGAGCCTAGGACCTTCTGCATGCAAACAAGGTGCTGTGTCTATAGGGGGAAAATGCCCTGCACTTTTAATAGCAGCTTAATGAGATGTTATTTACCTCCATGCCAAGAAATGCTTCAGCTGCCCATTTCCACACATTCAGGCGACTTACCAAAGGCTGTTATACTGCAGAGACAGGCGTAGAGTTCAGGGGGGGGGGCAGGGGCTACCTCCAAAATTTTCCAGGGAAGGTCTCAGCCTCCCCTGGGGCTTGGATGCTTGCAAAAAAACCTCCATCCCCCTTGGGCACTCACCATCAATGTTCTGTGGCGACCTCAGCAGGGTATAATGACACAGACTCCACCATTTTCTCCAGAGGAACTGATCTCTGCTACCTGAAGAGCAGTTTTAATTTTCAGTGATCTCCAGCCCTCACCTGGATATTGGCAACAATTGTTACCCAGGAAGAAATGGCTGGTTTGGAGGGTGGAGTCTATGGCATTGCACACGTCTGAGGTCCCACCCCTCCTCAAACCTCACCCTCTCCAGGCTCCACCCCTCAAAACTCCATGAATTTCCCAACCTGGAGTTGGCAACCCTATCTCCTTCCCAGCCAAGCATCACCTTCCATTATCTGCCCCTCTGATTTCAGCTTTACATCTCCTCCCCCCTCCCTCCTGGAGATCAGTTGTAATTCTGAGTGATTTCTACCCCTCTTCTGACATTGGCAACAGTGGTTCCCCAGAAGGGAATGGCTGGTTGGGAGGGTGGAATCTATGGCACTGTACCTGTCTGAGGTCCCACCCACCTAGGTTCCATCCCTCAAATCTCCAGGAATTTCCCACCTGGAGTTGGCAATCCTATCTCCTTCACAGCCTCCTCCCCCTCTTTCTTCAGCTTTCCATTCCCCCCCACACACACACCTGCAGCCTCTTCCATGCTCTGAAGCCCTGACTGCCACAGAGTCCACCATTTTCTCCAGGGGAACTGATCTCTACCCTCTGGAGAGCCGTTGTAATTCTGAGAGCCAGTTTGGTGTAGTGGTTAAGTGTGCGGACTCTAATCTGGGAGAACCGGATTTGATTCCCCACTCCTACACTTGCACCTGGCTGGATTACCTTGGGCAAGCCGTAGTTCTGATAAGAGCTGTTCTTGAAAAAGAGCAGTTCCTGTCAAGAGCTCTCTCAGCCCCACCTACCTCACAGGGTGTCTGTTGTGGGGAGGGGAAGTGAAAGGAGTTTTTAAGCTGCTCTGAGACACCTTTGGGTAGTGAAGGGTGGGGTATAAATCCAATCTCCTCTTCTCTTCTGAGTGATCTCCAGCCCTCACCTGGAGATTGGCAACAATAGTTTCCCAGGAGGAAAAGTAGTCTTTTTCTGCAATGGGGACCAAAGCAGCTTACATCATTCTCCTCTCCCCCTTTTGACTTGCACAACAACCCTGT